ACCTTTCACAGAGAGGATGGTCTTGATAAATGCAGTTCATTACAGAGTTCTGACATGAAAACAGAATGGCACTCTGTGTTTCTTGGCAGGCTGATCAATATTTTATCTGCCAAAGCATACAGAAGTGCTAAACAGGACGAATTACGTAGCTGCAGCAAAACAGAGCAAGAAACAGAATTGCTCGGGGTGAGCAGAGCATGTAAATGTGACAGTTATTGGCCACACTTTGGCAATCAGACCCTAATACGCTGGATTTTTCCTTTCTTTTCTTCTGTCCTACTGTTTTTCTTTGCCTGTCATTCTTTTCTTTTTCAATACAAACAGCGCCAGGCTTCACTGGTTCTGGAAGCGCTGTAAACAGATAAGAAGGGCTTGTTTTTGCAGAGGGCTCCCAGCACTGAGCTCCCTGCCCAGGGACACCACTGCACTGCCAGCCCCCCCAGCCAGGCGTGGGGATGGCAGTGGGTGCTTTGGGAGGACGTGTTTCATGGGTCTATCTCTATTAAAAAAAAAAAGAAATCAGAAATCCTTCTCTTTTGAGCCCGGCACGTATATTGAAGTTTTATCCCAGGAGCTGCTCCTTGTACAGGGGTGGTTTGAAAGTCAGCAGTGTTTTCTTTTTAGGGCTACAAAAAAGGATGTCAGGCTCGCAGAAGGGATCCAGGCTGACCTCCAGCAGAGTGCTGGGAACAAAGGCAGCGCTGCCCAGGGCATCCTGCAGCTGGGCAAAAAGCATGCAGCTCTTCCCAGGGAAGGCTCCTGTTTGTTGTACAAAGTGTTGCTGTCAAATTAGGTTCTTGTTCAAAAAGCAGAGGGGCAATCAAAAGCAGTGATGCAGTCTGTAGGAATGGGAAAAGTAGCTTTTTTTTTTTTTTTTCCCCCTTTCAATTTAAAATAAATTCCTAAGCTGGGATCTGAAGACATGGTATTACACGTTGTTAGCACTATTAGCTTTAAAAAAAACAATACCCTGCACTAGCAGATCAGCATCTTAGTCTTGATATCAAGGGTCTGCAGTGTGCCTAGAGCTCTCTTCTTCAGCAGTCAGCAGAATAAATCCTGTTGGGATCGTGCTTACAGATGGAGAAACAACTTGAGTGACTTCTTTTTTTCCTAACCGATCCTTATACAAAGTAGTGGAAAAAGATGATCAAGTGTGTAGAGACCCAGTTTAAGGCCTGGAAGCAGAAAAGCAGTTTTAAAAGCAGCTCATCCTGGAGCTGTGCAGTCGGCAGGTTCCCCACCTGGAGGTGGTACAGATGGGAGCAGTGGGCACTTGGGCTGCACACAGACACATCTCCAGCGCTCAGAAACAGAGAAGGGAAGAAGTGCTTCAACACTCTTCTCAAAAAGCAGCAGAGGCAGCTCCTGGTGTGCAGGCTGAGAGTCTGGGCTCCAAACAAGGCAGCTCTGGGGTCTGTGGGACAGCAATTGCAAACAGAGCCCAAGTGCCCAGGGTGTGCTAACAAGGAAACCCCACCGAGAGACACCAGCAGGGAGAGCAATCGGTGGCTAGCGCTGAGCTCATGTTGCAAAGGAAACTGCTGGAGGCACTTAGCAAAGCACAGACAAGAATGGGAATGAGTGAGAGGGCATGAAGATGATTTTTCTGTGATTCAAGTAGCAGCTGTGGTTATAATACCTGAAAGAACAGCAAACATAGAAGAGACAGCAGTGCTGCCAGAAACCTGCAGAGAGTATTTAGCAGATAAAGCTGGTGGATCCTGGGCACGGTGTAAGAAGATTATAAGTGTCACTGACAGCAGGAGATGGGACTGGGGAGGAGAGAAAGTACTGAGCTGTGCTTTGCAGGACCTGTACAACAGCCCCAAAGGACTATGAGCTGAGTCCATGGGGAAGATGGCTGGATTAAGGATAAGAGAGCAATGTCTGGTAAGGAACGGGAAGGGTCTTTATAACAGGAGAACCTGGTTAAGCTTAGCATTGGCTTGCCAAACGATCCAAGCTGCCTTGATGTGTCCTTGGTGGAGGGCAGAGGCAAGGAGTCTTCTGCAGTGCCTTCCCATTGCTTTTAGAGGAGCATCAGGTCCAGGTTGTGTGGATGGACCTGACATCCCACACAAGGATGGCAATGAAACCAGCGCTTTGGCCAGGTGTACTGAGAAGTTGGGTCAGACAGAACATGTCCTTTGACTAGGAATGTTTTTCCCCCTGTGTTTTTTTTTTTGTTGTTGTTGTTATAATGAGATTAAATATATAAATTATTTAATTATTTATATGTGCTTTTATATATATAAGCCTTAGCACATTTTCTCATCAATCTTTTAGTTCCACTGAACGAGCACAAATGAGGAATCTCTCACCTCCATGACAGAACCTTACTGCTTTTTCTCTTTCCTTTGTGTGCCACCGAGTGCCAATATGTGCCTTGTCCTGAAGCAACTGCTTCTGCATCACTGCCAGGCTCAGGTGTCACAGGTGTCAGGGGAGGATGGCCAGAGGTGTGAGAGCTGGGGAATCTGTCACCTCCATGCTGCTAAGAGGTGCCGAGGGAACGGCGTCCAGCAGAGCTGAGCAGCGCTGTTTTCTCCAGGGGAAAGGAAAGGTGATGAGGTTTCAGAGCAGTGTGAGCTGGGGGCAGAGCTGTGGTTTGCGTTAGCAAAATGTGAAACAGAGCTGATTTTTTAAATAGAAGGTGTAACTGTGTTATTGCTGGCTTCCCTTGCTGTGTGTGGGGTGGTCTGGCGTTATCCTGCTGCTGGGATGGACTGGGCTGGGTGCTTGGTCCCTACCAGCAGCCATTGCAGTTATGGAGAAAAATGTCTTTTGATGTTTTGATGTGAGCACAGAGCAGTATTTGGGGTGTGCTGCTGAGGCTGCCACCAGCTCTGTCTTCCCTCCAGTTTCCTTTATTTCACTGTTTATGTGCATCACATCTGCCTGGAGGTGACAGCATGGCTGTATCCCTCTGGAAGTCCCCAGGTTGGTTCCTTGGGCTGTCCTGCAGCCATGTGAGCCTGTGCGTTTCGGGGAAGAGCAGTTTTGGGGAATCTTTGTTGTCAGCATGTGGATAGAGCATGGGGGGTTGTAAGGAGGTGAAGGAGATCACCGTCTCCCCCTTCTTGGCAATGCAGCCGTGGGCATCATGGTGCATCCAGCAAATGGGAAGCACCACACAGGAATAAGGTGGGAAGCAAATTAAATAGTTTTCCCTGTCTTCGTTAGCCTAAGTTACATCTCTAGAATTAAGATTTGACTGGAAAGAAAGGAAAACTTCATCTCAGAGAAAAGCAATTATTGAAGTAGCTAAATCCGTATTTATGACAAGACTGCAGAACTGTGTGATTGCACTGGAGAAGGCAATCAAATTTTCTTTTAAATAAGCACATGATTGTAAGGAAGACATTTCTTCTTGCATATCCACGTTCAGGATAGCTATCAAATGGGAGCAAGGGGAAGGGCAAAACCAATAAGACTGATAACAGCTGAGTTGCAGAGAAGCCTTGTTTTTCCATGAGATTGATCTCCAATTGAGATCTTTGGTGGTTGTTTAAGAGAGAAGAAAAAATGTTACGGCTGCTCAGTATCTCTCAGTGGATACTGAGGCAGTGAGGAGCTCTCCTCTAGAAGGGTGTGAGTTCAGGATGGGAAGTGAGCCTGGTTGTGTGGTTATTGCTGGAGAAGCAGCACGGTGCTGACCCCAATGGAGGGTGCATGTCTGGCCCCTCTGTCCCCTTCCACCTTCTCAAGTCATGATGTTTTTGAAGCTATGAGCATTTAATAGGAAAGGGGGAAAAATCTTGCCAGTAGATGGGTTTGCTATCAGAGAAATGCCTCCCGCCTGGAATTTTAATTGGCTTTCAGTTGTAGTGGGACAAGAGGTCCAAAAATGATGCGGCTCAGCAATAAAAGAACAGGAAGGCTGGCGGTCAGTATGACAACCTGCTGTTATTTTTCAGAGCTATAACGTTTGAATTCTTTGGGGAACTGATCTGCAAGAACATTGTCCCTTCAGGAGTAAAGAGACCCCTCAGATTTAGTCCAGCATGAGAGCTGAAATAGCATTGTTTCAAAACCACCAACGCAGAGAACAGAAGCACAGAGAAAAGGGCATCTAGCAGGAGCAGCGGGCACTGCTGTGCTTTGCACTAAAGCAAACAGATTTGCACCAACAGGAAAGTGGCCACACTTCATTCTGCTAAGCTTTGCCAGACAGCAGCAGAGCAGAAAAGGGCAATAATGCTTTCTGTGCTCCGGGCACGTGGGGTCAGCTTCCTCTCTAAGAGGATGCCTTTAAATCAGAGCAGGGCACTGCTCAGAGGATTGCTGGCAGCCGCGAGCACAGCAGGAGCTTTCAGGGTCACAGAGGTTTGGTCTCATTGCTCCAGCCAGGCTGGTGTCACTTCAAAGCGAGCGGCTTGAGGGCTTCTCACTGATCATGATGTTTTTCCCTGGTCAGGGGTTGAGGGAGGTGGCTGCGGCAGCATGCAGTGTCACTGCAGGCAGCAGGCTGCTCCACGCCATCCTTCCCCACCAGCCTAGAGCCTTGTGCTGTGTCTGAAGCTTCCTCTGACACCTTGAGAGTGAGACATATTTGCTGTCCCTGTGGGCTTCGTGCCTCGTTTACCCCAAAAGGGTTAGTCCCATGTGTTGCATGGGGTGACACTGGAGCGTTTGTGTCTCAAATCAGCCTCCTATGATTTATTTTGCACTTTGTGATCACTGGACTGATGATATTTAGACAAACGTGGAGCAAATTTGATATGGGTGGAGATTACAAAGCGAAGTATGGAAGTCTGTTAGCAAAGCCCTATAACCTGCAAGGCAACGTGCTGGAGACAGCCCTGACAGCAGGGCTCAGCCAAACTGTCAGCTCCTACAAAGGACGACCGCTGCAGGAGCTGCAAAGCACAGCCCAGCGTGGTGCCGAGTGTGCAGACAGCCCGGCTTTGGCTGTGCCATATTTATCATTGCTTGAGAAGCAGAGTCCCTTAAAGGATCCCCGTGCAGTAACGCATTCCTCCCTCCCTCTCTTCCAGGTGACACGTGCACCATGGCCAGTTACAGGAGGCTGAAGGGAGTCGTGTTGGAGCTGCAGGCACAGCGCTCAGCCCCACCGCGCCGCCCATCTGCCGACAGGGCTGCCCAGAAACGGGCTTTGGTGGAGGAGCTCTTCCAGCACCTGGATGCAAACAGGGATGGGCACCTCAGCAGCTCGGAGCTGGCACAGGTGGGTGTTTTGTTGGGTGCAGATGGCACGGTGGGTTGTGTTTCTCATTGGAAAGGAGAGGTTGGCTGTGCGGCAGCAGGGGGAGCGGTGATGCTGCAGCCCCCACGTCTGCCTCTGCACCTCTGGTGTGGTGTCCAACACTTGGTGATCCTCCACAACAACAACGTGGCACTTTTCCAGCATCATCCTTGCTCCTGAGGATAGCTGATAATCCTCACTGCTAGCAATCATCTCGAACGTTTCCAGGTAGCTTTTGATTCTGTGTAAGTTAGGAAGAAATCCCTTCCTTCTTCCTCATATTTTCTGGACCGTGCAGTGACATGGCAGTAAAGTCAGAATACTTTTAAGAGGTTTATTTTGCTAGGGTGTTGAGGCAGATACTGAAATCTTGATTAGCTGATCCTAATAACATTTGAAAAGGTGAGAGCCTGAAGAAACTGTTATTTCTAATTATGGGCCTGCTGTGCTGTTGGAATTCATCTAATTGGTAAAGTGAACCAGCACAGGCACTTGTGCTGATTACTTTGTGTCCTGAACTTGTTTTCTTAGTGTGAAAATTTGACAAAGCAGTGTTATAAATATGAGCAGCAGCACTGTACCAGATGTGGGAGAGTGTCCCCACGCTGATCTTGTGGTTCTCTATGTTCTATGAGCAAGCAGGACAGAGCAAGCTCACTGCTCCCCAGGCAGGACCACTTGCAATGGATTTGCTCTGAATTTTAATCCTAATGCTGTTGACATGATGCACAGTCCTGCCTGCACAATGCAAGGTGTCAGCATAAATTCCCTTAGATCTGAGCTATGAGTATATACAGTACTTCATCTGAATTCGGTGATTTCTTACAAAGGCATGGGTTTTGCACAGTTACATCTGAGTGTGAGAAAGAGCATAGAGAGGGCTCCAGGCACAACAGCAAGCGAAGGAATTGGCTGCTAGGTGGTTTTTTTTTATTCTTCTCTTCTAACTATATCATCAAATTCAGGAAACGTGTTTGCAGCTCTGTTGCTTTCTGCAGTGTTATGAACTGACACAGTCCAGCCCTCAGCTGGAGCCCACACGTCCTCTGTGCACACACAAAGGCTGACAAAGTGTCAGCACCTCTCAAAAGACAAAGCAACACCAGGTAATGCTGAGTGCACAGGGGCTGGGGATGCTTTTAATCCTGAGCTGAGCTGCAGTGCTGTGAGCCCCACTGGGGCAGTGTGGGCAGGTCAGGTTGTGCTGGGCATCACCTGAACCCTGGGACTCTCACACCGTCTGTATTTCTTCTTAGCTCCAAGCCAGAATGACTTCCATCTGCTTTCACCTGTCTGGTTTATTCACTCTGCTTCCAAGGGATTTTTGTAGGCATTGAGCAATTGAGCAATTTTTAATTTTCGATGTTACAGCCTTAAGAGAAAGTTTCTTGCCTTGAGAGGCAGATCTGTGACTGATTTGTGTTGGCTCTTTTAATCTGAAGCTCACCACAACTTTAAAGTTCCTCCGAAGATGGGATTTTTATTGCCCATGGGTAGAGGCAGATAAAATGAGCATGGTGCACAGGGAGGCATGTGATCTCATTCTCTCTGGCCGCTGGATGAGCTGTTGTTGTGCATTTTCTTTGTTTTATTTAAAAGAAAAATAGTCTCTCGAGCACCATAACCTTGTCTGCAAGAAACAACCTGAGGCAGGTAACACACACTGCTGCAGGAAATGAAAAACACAAAAAAACCAAGAAACAAAACAGTCATTTTTAAAGCCCGAATGGGGTCTTTAGGAGGCTTAGTGCAGAGGGATTTGTCCCAGAGGAGAAACTGGAAGCAGAGTCCCTGCAACAAGGACAGTCCAGTGCCAGGGCAGCTTCCAGCACCGGGACACAGTGAGGGCCTTTGCTTACTTTCCATTACACAATTGCTTTGAGCAAAAGAGTGGCAGCAGATGATCCATCCCTTCTGTGTCGAGCCATTTTGTGTCCTCACTGCCAACGGGTTCCATTGAACTGTGTTTCCCTCTGGACCCAGCAGTGTGAAGCACCCATGTAGTCCTCCAGCCATTGGTACACAGATCTATTAACAAAGGTAGTAATTGGAAAGCTATTTCCATTTAAAACCTGACTGCATTTTCTAGTCAGATTCATAAATCTACTGAACACATCGCAGCTGAAGTGCCCTGTGTGTTTTTTTTTGTCTCCTGACATTAAATCAAAAGGACTAGTAAAAAACTTGTAGTCTGATGAAAAGCTGATCAATTTTCAATACAAAGATAGACAAAGGAAAATTTCCATCTTTAGAAGATTGATCTCGAATGTTATGGTTGATCTCACTTTTATTGAACATTTTTACTGGCTAGGTGAAGGGTCATTTTTTTAGCATTATTACTTTAAATTGCTTCAATATAATGGGCCAAGACTAGAGGAGTAAATAAGAGAGTCTCTGGACTGCAGCAAAAGCCTTCTTGCCTGGGAGATGCAGTATTTCAGGAGTTTTCTTCATGTTCCTCAATAAATTCAGAGAAGCCATTGTTTTCATTATGTTTAGGTCTGAGTTTAGCTGTTTGCTAACTTGGATGTATGACTTTCAAAGCTCTCTTCATTTTTCGTGTGGAATGTGTGAAATCCTTAGCATACAGAAGAAACAAACTGTTGAGAACTGAAAAAACACATTCGTTTTGAATATACCATCATCTCTTGCCTGTTGTAGCCATAAAGGGGAAGGTGAAAGCGCTTGTGGAGTGTTACTTTTTTTCCTCTTTGCCCTATAAACCTGGTCCTAATCTGCTGACTTATGAAAGTGGCTGTTCTCCAAAGCCTCTGCTGCTCAGAGGCATTCAGAGAATTCTCATGTAGCAGTGCCAGCAGCTGGCACCCCGAGCCAAGTTTGTGCCAAGTCAGAGCTCCAGCTTGGAGGGTTTGTCATGGTGCTGCAACCAAGTCGTTACCATCCTCCAAGCCCCTCTGAGGAGGAAGAGGGGGGTACGAACCCAAGGGTCATTTAATGGCACAACTGCTGGGTGACTCAGAGCCACTGTCTGTAGCTTTACATTGAGGTTGAGTGTTTTCTTTGCTGCAGGTAATGAAGAAAGAGGATCTGGAAGATGATTTATTGGATTGTACGCTGGAAGACCTCCTCCGGTTTGATGATTACAACAACGATGGGCGCTTAACCCTGCAAGAGCTCTACACAGCCTTCCGTAAGTCCTGGTGTTTCTGTCTGTCCTCAGTGTTGAAAGCATGTGAATATCTGAGATGGCAATGCTGTCTGCCCAGGCATGGTCAGCAAAGATGATCCCTTTTTGTACTGAATGTAAGACTTGTTTCTAAAGATTGCCGTGCTGCAAAGGGTGGGCAAGAGCCAGGAGGTTGCTAAAAGCAGGTGGGACTCGGTGTTCTTGTGGGTTTTTCTCATACTTTGAGCTGATGGCATCTTGTTGGTGGCTGTGGAGAGATGGGGGAGGGCAATGTGTGTAGCCATGAGCGTGTGGCCCCTGAGTAAACAATATGCACAGACTGCTTTTGCCAAACGTCATCTTTTCTGAAGAGAAGGTTTTCAGTTTGCTTGACTTTCATTTAAAAAAAAAAAACAGCTTTGGATAATAACATTTAATTTGCTTTCAGACTAGCCCCGGTAATCACCTTGCACCTATTTGAAACACATATGTATTTAATTCAGCACAGCACACTCAAAGCAGCAGATATACAGTAAAACATAAAACTTCATCCGTTCAGAAGGTGATCAAGTAAGTTACCCCTGCTATAAAGGTTTGACATGCAGTTATTTGGGAGCGTATTTGGATCAACGCGTTCTCAAAGTCACAGGAACTTGAAGCTAAATTCCACAAGTCATCTTTTGAGTTCTTGGTTCAGTGAATTTTAAGCAGGCAATGAAAATAGGACAGGTACAAAATATTAGCCGAGGAACAGAGGAAATAATCGATAAACTGCAGAAAGTATTGCTGCAAAAAAGCACGGCGTATTGAGGGTTTATCAAAAGGATTTTGAATGTTAAAAGAAACTAAAGTTCAGATTTCTCTATTTTCAATTTCCCAGAATCCCTGCTTTTATCCAGAGCATTTATTGGTTGCTGGTTTTCAATTAAAATACAAAGCACGTTGCTTGCAACCTTAGAAACTTTACAAGATTCTGCATGTAAACTTCAGTGCCTGGTTAAAGTCTGGCTTCTTTTACTTTATTGCACTGTCTGGGAACAACTTCTCAAAAATATGTTCATGTTTGTGCTTCATTATGAGGCAGCCCTGGCCCCTAACAGTAGTTTTGTAGTACAACATCAGGCACGTTTTTCACATTTTGTAGCTTAGAATTCAGCCAAGTCACTTATTTCTGTGTGCCAGCAGCGGGGATGGCTGCTCTGCAAATTGAGGAACCTAACTTTCAGAATTCAGTGACATCAGGAAGTCTCAATCTGATTTATCCTCTGAAAACCTCCGTTAGGTTTGTCTCAGCGTGCCGCGCTCCATCGCGGTGTTGCAGCTTGTAAAGGTTTGAAGATGACCTTGACAAAGCAGAGAGCTTTCCAATTTGTCATTCTTGCCATACTTTTGTAGTTGCAATTCATTTTCTCAACTCTCGTGGCCTTTCTGCAGCTTACAGAGCCACAGAATTGTACCTCCTCGCTCCATGGTTTGCTCTTGCCTTTTTCTGACCCATCTTCTCCCTGTGGGGCCCACAGAGGTCCAAAGGGCATCTTTGGTTCTGTGCCCCACTGGTCAGCTGAGAGTGAATGAAAACTGGGTGAGAAGAAATGCAATGCCTTGCCATATTGAAAACTGGTCTCGCCATTACAACTCCTACGTGTAATAGGTGCTGCTTTTAATAATCATTTCTAATCACGCTAATCAATTATATACACATCTCAGTGCAGAATATCAGATTGTGGATGGAAATAGCAGCCCTCCTGCTAGCCCTCTCTAATTTATCATCTTTATTCTATTTTTTCTGAAAGTTCTTTTATCCCTGAATTCCAAGAACACAATTTTTAGAAATTTGCTTTTGTGTATGAGGGTGAATGGAAATATCTATTAGCAGAGGATTAAAGTATCACTTTCCAAATCATCCTAATCATACGTACACGATGAGTAACATCTGAGACAGTCTAAATGTTCTCCTGGCAGCTCTGGAAAGAACAAGTTTAAGGTGTCTTCTAATTTCTTACTAGTAAGTTTTATTAGATAAACACAGGCAGTAATGAAAAGAAATTCATTTTTAAGATGATGAACTCAAAGATTTTCGCATTCCAAAAATAGAAAGTGTGCTATTAAGTGTACTTGTCTGTTTTCTTATTGATATTTTCAGAAAAGATTCAATAGATGAGTAATAAATAAGCAGCTTAGTTTATATCAGCACTACAGCAGAGCATGCACCTAATTAATCAGCGTGGAGATGGTCTAGGAAATTGGCAAGCGCGTCACCCAGCTGAGTCAAGCTTTAAATACACTCAGATGAGTGATTTTTGGATATAACTTCTGGAACAGTATCTGACTGGAGGTCATTAGAATTAGGCATGTCACTTTTGGCTTTCCTGTTGTCTTTCCTAATGGGAAAGTAGCAGGTTGGCAGATGTGAAAGCCTAGCTGAGAAAATCAGTGTAATCTTCTGGATCTATATTAGCATCAATGTGGACAGGTCCATTTGTAACACAAATATGTCGAAGAGAGGGAAAACATGCATTCCATCAAAATGGCTTTATCTTGTCAACATTGTTTAGCTAATAAGAAGCTATTAACCCTGTGATAAAATCCCCTTAAATTCTAGCTTGCTGCCAACTAGGGCTCTCTCCTAAGCAGCACGCCCTTCTGACAGCTTGCATGTGCATTTTGCTCTACCTCAGAGAGCACAAAAAGGCCTTTTGTGAGCATCCTTCCTACCCCATGGCTGTTGTTCTGACAGCAGCGGAATGCTGCTGGCTCTGAGATGTGCTATTATCTAAAGAACACAAACACAGTTTAAACACATTTATAGAATCATAGAATGACCAAGGTTGGAAAAGATCCCCGGGATCACCCAGTCCAACCATCCATTGAGTGCAGGAATGAGTGCAGATGAAGCTGCAGGATCAGCGTGCTCTTTTCACTCCTCAACTTGTTGGTGTTGGCTGTGATTGTGCTGCTGCACTCTTTGTAAGAAGCTTGTGCTGTTCTCTGATTTTGCTTTAATTCAAATTTCCCTTGTTTAACCGGCCTTAGTACTTAGTGAACAATGTGCTGTGGGTGAATTTGAGCAAACAAAAGGAATGAGGAGCCAGGGCTGGGCATGGCTGTTGGATACATCAGTGCCAGTGCAGAGGAGCAGCAGTGGGTCGGGCTTCAGACTTTCTGCAAAGGTCCTAAAACTCCTGCAGCTCTGTTCCCCATCAGGCTGTAAGTAAGGCACACAGGGCTGTTCCTTCCTGACTCTGGACATCTTCCTGAGCCAAATCTGCATGGCAGAGTATAAAGCAGATTTATTTTTGAGGGGTGATTCTCTGGGTTTGACTTAAAGACAGAGCTTTGTAGCTGTCAGCCAAACATTGAGGCTTCATGCCTGCCAGGACAGGCAGAGATATGCATGGGGAGAGGAGCAGAGCCTGAGCAGGGGCTGCAAGGCATGTGGGGAGAGCTTCTATTCTCAGGCCATAAGGAAAGATAGAAATAACTTGTGTTTGAGGAGAATGGACACGTGTATTTGGAAATGTCTGCAGTCAATGTGTTTCACGTCTGCCTGGCAGCCCAGGTTTCCAGCAGGAATTGCAGCTGTGAGATCCATTCCAGGGCCGTGTGTTGCAGCCCTGTCCTCCCCATCGGTGTGGCACGTAGGGTTGGACATGTGTTGCTGCTATCTCCCAGCCAGATTGGTCAAGCCTGGTTAATTATATTGGACAACTATATTGCGAGATAAAATGTTTTGCTTGAGGTGTTCTCTTTAGCAGTATTGTAGCATCAGTTATCAACAGGATCAAATCATAGTCCAAAAATATTGACAGTTTGCACGCCGTGCTCAGCCTCTTCAGCTGCAGTCTCCTTTGTATGTGATTTTTCTTTCATGTTGCTGCAGATATTGCTACGGAGTTGGAAATAATTCATTAGCTTACCAACATTGATTTGTTTCTCCTGTGAGCGATGTGATATCCAGACTTCAAACACGACTCAGCAAGCAGAGCAGCGCGGCGCTGCTTTGGGTTGGCGGCGATGTTGGGGGTGCTGCAGTGCTTGGGAACAAGATGAGCTTTCCTTTGCTGGCCAATGTGAGCATCCAGAGTGCGTTGAGGGGTCCCATGCAGACGTGTTGCTGAGGATAAAGGCAATTAAAGGCAATTCTGGGGGGGGTTCTGGAATAATGAATGTAATAATGCATTCTTACAGCAAAAAGCTAAACGTGGGGCAAAAAGCAGAATTTTTAAGCCATTTAGCTAGATTTCTGTACCTTAGTGTCCAAGGTGAAAATTTCTGGTAAGAGTAGACATGGTTGGAGTGATTTTGTGTTTTTTTTGGTCAGGAGTTGCTGTCCATTTAAGGCAGAGAGCATCTCCTCCTGGTGGTGCACATGGTGGAACTGCCAATCTCCAGTAGTTTTTCAAATACCTCTCATTTCAAAAGATACTGTCTGGAAAATGCCAACGGGCTTAATACGTAATGACTGAATAAGAGAAAATGAACTAATTACAAGTTGTTATTGGAAATCCATTCTCTACGAATAGCAAAGAAAACTCACCGGAATACAACGTACCAGTGGTTTTAAACTGCTCCTCGGGGTGCATTGATTTGTTAATCTTGGGTTTAAATGAAAGAATTTGCAGTGTGGAGTTGTGCTTCGGAGGTGATGTAGTGCAAACCATATCAAATGTCTACGCACACTCTTGCAGGAGCAGAATATCTAAATATTTATAAGTGCTTATGAGTGACTCAGTGGCGCATAAAACCAGGCAAATGCCATTTCTCAAAAAATGATTTGATCCGTACCAGCAATGTGCACTGAAGCAATCTCCCACGCACAAATAACACTATTCTCAGTTGCTTGCAGACACAAAATTACGTCAGTGAACAGCAAATACATCCGTTGGTGAGCTCATGAAATGACTGGCAGCCCTTCAGTGTGGGATCCACAGCTTCAGATCACACAGGTAGAGATCTGTGTGTGGTGAGATTTGCATTTTCAGTGAGCTGGGGATGTGGAATTGCAGGCTTTCCTGTGGCTTTGT